ATATTATTGTGATATCAAAATTCATATTTTGAAATGTTATATGGCAACTCTATTAAATATTTTATAACAAAATTTGTCGTCTGCTTAATGATAACTAAATTAATATTTGTTTATTTTCATACCTTGTAATAAGTTTTCAGCGTGTATTATTAATCTATCGAATGGCACCCTATTAGCAACAATATGTTTAAATAGTAATTTAAAATATTTTTCATAATTCAACCACAAGAGAATATTACAAAATAACTGCTTTTTGCAATGTGCGCATTTCATACTTAATAACGTGAAAAAGATGGCAACTCTGTTAACAAGTATATCAACTAAAGGTTGAGACAAATATAGTAGTTTAAAACGTTATAATAATATAGCGCCTATGTGCTAGACTTTGATGCTTTAAATGAGATGGCAACACTGCCAAGAGTAATTAACTTCTAAATTTCTATTGTTCAATAATTCTTTGTTTTTATTTCACTTATGCCTCAATTTTTCCTTAACCGGAAATCACATCTTTTCATTTTCAACCAACGGAAGCTGCCATTCAACACCTGTTGGCATAAATGTATGTATTTAACAATAAAACTATGCTGATAAAAACGCTTAACATTTAATCGCACATTGCTTTCAGAGGCAAAGCCTTGTTACATTGGCACTGTCGAAATAAATATCTTTTGCCTGCGTGTTCGGTATGACGGCAATATTTTGCTTTTAAGCTGAATAATCTCCGGATTGTACAAATGTATAAGCCGCTGCGCAACAACAAACACCATATTTAGTATGACTTACGGACTTACTGTTACTTACATATATATGACATAGCACTGCCACCAAATCTGACAGCTGAAAATGCGTTGTCAATTAACACACAAATATATTAAATAAATACGCGGTTTTGTTGCTGCTGTAGCTGAGTGTTTGTGGCCGTGTTATGTTGATTTAATGCCGCCACACTAACACGCTTTAGACTAGTTGAAGGCACCTCTTTGCACTCAACTTGAACACTGCTTTTCAATTTATTTATCAGTTATTGAGCTTAAAGTGTCAGCGCTCATGCTATCAAAGCAGACGCCACGAAAATGTTGAAAAGTGCAATTTTAATAATGTGTGGATTTTCATAGTGATTATCTATTATTTTTACTATAAGCGATAGATATGCAAGTAGTAGGCATTGGGAAGCATTTGAAAGATCTAAGCAGAGGAGTTCTATGCTTTTGAGAAAGAATATTTACTTTCAAGCATAAAAGTTAAAAGACAATAGCTTTTAATCGTTATGATTGACTGAAATTAACATGTTTAAATATTTATTTAAAATTTTGATACACATGTTTCTCAATTGATACATAACATTCGCATATATCATAATGTATATATTATTTAAAAACACCAGAAAATTTATACAGATAATATTTGCCCACCATTTTTAACATGTTACACATTAGTATAAACATTTATTAACAATTTTTCAGTGATACTTTTTGCTATTACAAAATACAAAAATTTCACATATCAAAAGAGTCATTTGTTTGATACAATGTCATTTGTGCCATTTTACATCTCAAATTTTCTAAAAGTTAGTTTGAAAGGCAGAGGTAACAAACCATTACTGCTTTTGATTATACGTTACTTTTAAATTTTTTATATATAATTTATTCCCTTTCAAATTTTTAATTTTTAAAAATATTAAAAAAAAATATTTTTATTATTTTTATTTTTATATTTTTGTCAAATAATTTTTAATCACTCGCTTTTCTACTATTCTACTTATTTTTGTCTTTCAAAATCACACTTAAATTTACAACATAAAACAAAATAGTATTCTAAGCTTTTTTAAAACCACTTTATAGGTATTGCGCGACTATTGTGCACATTTGTAACGAATTTCAATGTCTTACTATATTTGTTCATTATCATACAACAATATGACACGAAAATATTGCTTTATCCATTGAGTGCTTAGTGGCAATAAATATTTTATAATAAACACCTTTTCAATGAAATCCATTTAAGTTGCGTTTCCTTTAAAATTTTACATTTTTAAAACAAATAGTAAATGGCAAATAAAATTAGAAGCAGTAAATGTTATTGTTGTGTCGCGCGCTTTAAAATGCCCAGCTTAATATTCGAAAAAAATGCGCTCAAACAAATAATAATAGCTATAATAGTATCTTTTATACATATTATTGTTTATTTACAACACACAGCAATGTTAAGCGCCCATTATTGGCTCAATTGTTCGCGAAACAACAACAAAACAAATTTGCATCACTCAATGTTGTCAGCATGGCGTTGATTTTAACATTTTATATGATTGTTTGTTTCAATGCCAGAGCTATGACAATGCAAAGAAAAGAAAGAAGCACAGTGTATATAAATGCCAAATAAATGCTCAACGAACGAAACGAAAAAGTACAAAGCCAACCATGCACGCCGCAAATGAGAAATTCGACAGGCGATTGAAGGTGAAGGACAAACGAAATGAGTAGCAATTTATGGGAGCGTGTGGCAAGTGAGCGGCAGCGAAGACACAATAAAGCAAGGATAAGCAACTAAAAATATAACTTGGAGAAAAACTATAAAATTCAATTAAAGAACTGAGTAGATAGTAGAGAGAGTGAGATCGGGTGAGTAAGCGAACGAGAGGCATAATGTGTAATCGTTGAAATTATGCAGCTTCTACATACAACAAGACCAAGCCCAAGCAAATTATCCACAAACATACATATAATATATATATAATATAATATATATATATATTAAGTACTCAAAAGCGCTCGTCTCTTCAACCGTAGACATCGCGTTGCGACACTAAGTTAGTGGTGCAGCACAGTTAGCCGAAACAGTTAGTCAGCAAACTCGACAAACGACGGTCAGTCAATCAATCACGCCAAGCACGCGCACATACACACGCTCAAATATTATATATGCGCATATTTGAGATTTATGTTCACACCGCACAGGAGCCAGCGCCTTGACTTGCCGAACAATACTCGCCATATCAAATGGATAATCATTACATTCGCTTATAAAAGATAAAAGTCATTAAAGTGCTTATGCCGACACACACACACATACATACTCTCGTATATGTAAATTTGTGCTGCAGTGAAGTGAAGTGAAATGAAAAGAAATAAAAAGTGTTAAGTGCTGTATTGCTGAGTGCTGAAGTGTTGAGTGTCAATTTGTCAAGCTTTCAAGTAGCAATTAAATGAAACTTAATACCAGTGATCGTCAAAGTGGAAAGTGAAGTATGTATGCATTACAGTTAGTTGCATATGGCTTTGTTATTTAATGAGTGCTACAAAATGCCTGGTAGAGAGCTTAGCTTTTGGCGTGCTAGTTCTTTTGTGGTTGTTGTTGTTTGCTTAAAGTATTTTTTTTTTACTTTAATTTCAATAAACATTCTTATTCTATCGCTCGAAACCTGCGGTGCTGCTTGTTTTATTACAACTCATTGTTTTGAGTGTTTTTATGAGTTTTTATTTGTTTTCATATGCGTGTGTTGGTGTTTGCTTGTAAACATATCACACTTTTTATCGTTGAGTTTCTACATTCACCGTTTTTTTATTTTTGTCAATTTATTTTTTTATGCATGAGTTTGTGATTTTTATAAGACTGCTGACAGGTTTGAGTGGGCAATGACAACATGTTTTTAGTAGGTGCGCGTAGGTCTCGAACGCTTGATAGAAAGTGAAAATTTCGTGTGCACGAAGTTCTAGTTTTTATTATTATTTGTAGTGCTTATTCTTAACACATCTTTTTTGCTTGTAGAGAAAGTGTTTTTTTGGCATGGCAGGTTGGCTTTTTATAGAACCACTTTCTGTTTTGCGCTTTCTTCTTAAGGTTTGTGAGTTTATGTTGGTATTATTCTAGTATGAAATCTGATTTTAAAGGGAAGAGTTTATGATGTTATATGCCGAAAAAATAGCTACTTTTAAAAAATGTGTCATGCAACAAAATTGATTTACGTATAATATTTGTCAAATTTTTTTAACATTTTGGCAAACCTCGTACTTTCACCTATAGCTAATAGCTAAGTAATTTAATTTTTTCCATTTGGTTTTTTACTCAACAAACGCCAAATTTTTAGTTCTCCAAAATGTTAGCCAACAGGAATATTATTAGAAATATTATTTTTTTCTGTAATATTATAAAATCATTTTTATGAGCGCCTTAGCATAAAGTTAAGCATTAATTTCAAATAACTACATATTTGAGTCTGTTAATGTTACCACTTTAATTTTCATTGAGTTTTTATCTAAACTGATGGAATTTTCATGCTCATTTACTCCCTGCTGTTCGTGAAATTGATCAATCAGTGTATACTATATTAATGTTTTGAAACAATAAATTAGATGTTTGAAGTGCTGAGTATATAAAATAATAAATACTGATCAACTTCTACTCTTTCGAGCAATTTTTGTTAATAAAAGTAATTTTATTTAAAAAAAATCTGCTAAGACCATCTTAAGCTTATAGTGAAAACATATTTTAGCCGCGCTTTTCAAAAAATTTGTTTGAACAGCTGACCTGTGGATATGTTTTATATTCAGTAGATAACAAAAATAGACTAACGTGAGGGACTATTCGACTCCTTGAATTGAATTTTGTTTACTTTTTAGTGCCCTGAAAATATTTTTGTTGACCATATTTAGCTAATATTTGTAACAGAACTAAAATTATTGGCAAAAATAATATCTTCAGTAATATTTTGTAAAAAATTTGAATGAATTTCATGTTTTTACCTGATTTTTTTACATGCCTGTTCAATTAATCAATTTTCTATGTTTTCTACTAAAATTTACGTGACAAAAATGAGTATCATTTTAAAAAATGTATATTTTGTTTCCTCCTAAATAATATGAACTCCATCAAATTAATTTACTATAGAAATTCTTTTACTTCAGGAAATCTTTTAAAATAATATGCATATAATTTTTCATATATTTGTAAGAATTTTAAAGGGCACTAATAAAACTAATTTATGCCTTTTTCTTTATTTACAGATTTGGATATTAATTATAGCAACAAATAAGCATACTTAGAAAAGGTAATATATAATTTGCTTTATTTTTTTAAATTTTATTTTATTAAATTTTGACACACAAAGGCTTTGAAAAACTCCATATATATAGATATAAGAAAATTTAATTTTTTCTAATTTATTTAAACACAAAATAATTATGTTCGCTTGTAGCATTAGATTTTGCTTATAAGAGTTATACCTGTATGAAGGCAAAACATATTTAAAAGTATTCAGGCATAAGTATCTTATTTTTTTTCAATACGTTGAAAAATATTAATCAAATATTGTATGCAAAGTAGATTTCGAACATTTATGCAATTAAAAAGCTTGCACATTCTAGAAGTAACCATCTCTAGACGACCAGCGCTCACACAGTCTTTACTTCGTTGGTGGTCAGTGGCGCTATACTCATTAATAAGAGTTTACACAGCTGTCAGTTTGCGATTTATGTGTGAAATAACAGAAATACCTCGTCATGGCGTTTTGTAGCAATTAACATAAATATGCAGTGTACTGCTTTTGGTGAAATGCAAAAAAAAAGAAAACAAATAAGTAGAAGAAAAAGTTAAAAATTTCACTAAAAATCTAATTCTAGTACAAGCGCACTAATAGCGGTCATTGTTTAGCTAAACCACAGCAATTTAAGTGATTATGTTCTATTCTAATAAGCAGCGCCACGTTTACATTGCGCGCTGAGGCGTGCGAACCAACCAGTGAGCGCCGAAATAAAAGACTTAAGCAACGAACGCGCGCATACAAAGTCATTGACCAAACAGTAGTGATGGCTATAATATTTCATTTAGTACATTAATTTCTTTGTATGTGTGTGCCTGTTTGTTTGTGCGCAACTAACCAAGCGTAACGAAGTCAGCTAACCACCAATTAAATAAATTAGGTTTGACTTTTTGTGTGCCACAAGAAAAAGTGTATGCACACACAAAGAAAAAACAAAACAAACAAACACAAATAATATCAACTAATAGTTAAAGTGTTGTTAGAATATGATTTTTGCACTAAGGAAAATTTGAGTAGGCATGAACTGCGAACGATGCGAGTAATTTATGTGCAACAGTTGACCCATTAAACTAATTTTCTTGTTGCGATTTTAGAAACTCGATGGTGGCAAATCAAAAATACGCGCTTACAAACAAATACACACACATAGCTGAACGAGTTCGAATGCGCAACGAGTGCGCGCTTAGGCATTTTATATGCAAATAACTAAGTGCTGCAAAGCCATGCGTTCAATTTGAAGCGATAAATTGGAGAGAAAATTAACAGCTTTGTGGTATTATGTGATTGATGGCTCTTTCCTAAATGGTATTAATTGTGGTAAGCACACGGAAAGCGTTAAATATGTGTAAAATAAAATAAAATATATTTGTGCGCACAGATCTGTCACTTTCACAAGCGCAACAGCTGCGTTATGCTTTGCTAAGCTATGTAGCTTATATTTTCCTCTTCTCGCTGTAATTATTTCATTTATGAAAATCTGTCGCTTTGTTGTGTTGTACATGTGTACACCTGCAGATTTGCTTGATCATTTATCAGCGCTGGCAATCAATGAATTTGCTTAAGTGAATGAAAGCCAAAACAAAACCATACAGTGACACATGTGATTACACAGACACACAAGCTTCCGCGCAGGTTTTTGCAATAATTTTTATTTGTGTATGTGTGTATGCGTGGTATTAAGTCAAAATGAATTAATGACTTGGACGGGAAAGTGATAAACAATTACACGCAATAACAACAATGAAATGTCTTATTTAATTGTTTGAAATATTTATTAATTTCTATGCGCGGTTGAAATGGAAAGTCGTCTTTATATAATTTTTTTGCAAATTATATATGTAGGTATATTTTAAAATATGTAATTCGAATTACCTATTACCGTATTGAAATCGTACTATTGTCATGATTGTCACTTTTTCTATATCCCTTAAACTTGGGATTACCAGCATTATAATCTTGATCATTACCATTACATATTAAAATACCATTACCATTTTTTCGGTTATTGTTACACAAATATTAGTATGCATGTCATCAGTTTTTCTGCAAACCTTACCACAGCTACTATAAATACAATTATCATTACTTTTGCGCTTCCTCTACGTCCGTTGAACTTAGAATTACCAGTAATGTAATTGTGAATTACCATTACATATTAAAATTTCATTAGCTTTACTTTGTTGACTATTATTACACAAAAAATATTGGAAAAAATATCATTTTAATTTATGTTAAGCTTAGCGGGACTACTACAAATACTATTACCATTACTTTCTTTATTACCATAATTGTCACAATTGGCACCTACATTAACTTTTTGTATACTGTCAACACAAATATTTACCTTTATTACTATCAATACCGTTTGCATTACCAGTATAATTACTAGTAGCATTACCAAATTATTACCATGTGAATACCATTACTATAATCTTAACAATTTTTTACTATCACTAAAAATATTCCCATTTAGTACCGCTGTTACAATTATCATTACCATATAAACATTTAAATTACCAATACCAATACAATTACCATTAGGATTACTAATTCAATGCTGATTTGTTATTTAAGCTGAAAAAAATATTGCGAATTTACTGTTCAAAAAATGTTAGTACAAACAAAAAGTATTACTCACAATTTTTTATAATCATTATTTTTCACTCCTCCAATTATGCTTTCATTATACCATACATCAGCTCTTCTTTGTGTTAAATATAACACAAATCCAAGCCTTTTACTCAAAAGCCAAGCTGTTTCTCCAACGCAAATGTTCACTTTCATGTTGAATTCATCAGGTTGTGATGGTAATAAAACGCCTGCAATGATACACACATATACACATAAAACTGAGCATATAAATTAAAAGCGACAGATATAATCTTTCTGTGTTTTATTATGTGTTAATTAAAAACGCAACAACTGGAGCTATAAAGCATCTTTAAAGCCACTACTCAGTTAATGTTTTACTTATCTATGAATATGTATGTATGTGTGTGTGTTTGTGCATACAATTTCACTGCTAATAACCAATTGAAATGCCGTAAAACTGTAGCATGAAAACGAAAGTTTTTTACAGTTTCATGACAAAAGCATTAGTCCATCGTATAAATAAATTAAATATTTTATGCATTCTTTGTAATAATTTATTAATAGTCATTTTGTTGCTAATGAACTTCAAGCAATTTCTTAACAAAAGAAATTAGTGAAATAATGGAAATTAATCAAAAATATTGTCAGATATTACTCAGCCTCAATCTGAAAGCGCAACATTGTTGTGTAAATTAAATTTTAAACCTCATATGTACAAGGTACAATTCAAAAGTCCCAGGACTTTTTAAACAACGCAGCTTCTAGTGGCGCCATCTGTCTGAAATTATTATCCCTCAATTGTGTATTCTTCAGTGAGATATCGCGCTACATGTGACATTACATTTTTAGTGTCGGTCGGAAAATGAGCATCAAATAAAGAGCCAACATTAAGTTTTGTTTTAAACTTGGTAAAACTTTTACCAAAACTCATCAAATGCTGAAACAAGTTTATGGCGATGATTGTCTATCCCGTAGCCGTATTCGCGGGTGGATTAAACGTTTTCAAGAGGGACGGGAGGACTTGGAAGACGACGAACGTTCGAACCGGCCAAAAGATGTTGTGAACGAAAAAAACACGGAAATTGTGCGTGAATTCATTAAAAAAGAGCCGAAATCATCGCTTAAAGATATGGAATCGGAATTATCAATACTTGTAGCGTCGATTTATCGTATTTTGACAGAAAATTTTGGCCTCAGAAAGGTTTGTGCTCGATTTGTCCCGCACACTTTGAAACAACACGAAAAAGACCTCAGAGTTCGACACTCATGACAGATTTTTTGACCAAAAATCGCATTCATATCATCAACCATTCACCCTATTCGCCTGATATGGCACCCTGCAATTTTTATTTGTTCGGAAAACTACATTTGGCCATGAAAGGAAACCGCTATGCTGACGTTGATGCCATCCAAAAGGCGACGACCGCCATCCTCAACGCTATACCGACAAATGACCTAAAAAAAAGTCATTCGACAACCTTCTTGAACGTGCAAAACGTTGTATTCAGACGGAAGGAGACTACTTTAAAGGCGACCAATAAATTTTTCAAAAAACAAACAAATAATACTCGTTTTTTAATAAAAGTCCTGAAACTTTTGAATTGCACCTTTTATGTATAACGGAAAAATTAACTGCCTTGTAACTTCGTGTGTCAAGTTTAACTTTACACATTTCTTGGTTGTTGTTGCCATAATTTACAAATGGAAACATGTTGGTCTTGAGTCAAGTGATAAGGCTTTTGCTTAACAGCTTGTCTTTGTTATTTGAAAAACTTATTAAGTTAGTTAGCATCAATATGCATTACAAAAAGAAAAGAAGAATGTCAATAAAAGAGAAGCAGAAGTATGTATTTGTATATTTTACCGTTATTAGTCAATAATTCATATTTAATTCTTCACCACTTAAAAAAAAAGTAAATGATATCTGAATTACAGTAGTGTAATGAGTTGAAAGTTTATTGTATTGACGATATCCGAGATATTTCAAACAATTTTTTAAGATTTTTTTAATAATTTGAAAAACGTAACATTTTCCATATATTTCTTAAAAAAAAGTTAAAATGAATTACAACTTACAAAAGCGGCAGCTCCGTTTCAACATTAGTATTATTGTATTATGTGAAGTACTTTCCTTAAAATAAATAATTTGTAATTCATATTACTTCAATTAATTTCTTGATATTATTAAAAATTTATTTCCAGATTTTACAAATTTGGCAACTCTGTGCCAATAACAACTTCAAAAAATCACTTCAAATTCCATACCAACACATTTGCAAGTCATAATCGACTGTAAAAAATTTTAAATAAAAACAGGTGGCAACACCACAAATCAATTTAAAGCATTTCTTCAAGTAATTGAGAAAGGCATTTGCTTTTCAAGGTTTTTATATTGCGGCGAAACACAAATTTCACAC